GAATGAATGAAATTAAAAATCTTCCATATGCATGTGAAAGATTCAATTAATTTACTTGTGGGGAAGTTAGTTGTCTGACAAATAGTGCAACTACACACACCATCTTGGGTGAACACCACTATTTTACTAACTTCATGCCTAAAATTTCACATCTAACAAACCTTTTAGGCCTATCTAACTTGATTGAGGGGTATAGCACTGCCAATATTATGTTGTCCAATAATACTGAATTAACCAAAGAGGCATTTTACTCAAACCATTCTGGAAGAACGCTGTTGATCTCCAAAGATATTTGAGGTAGTAATTATCACACTAAAACCACTTAAGAAAATGAAGTTGAATTTCTTTCATCACTTCATATGAATATTCCCAAAAGCGTATTCCTGAAAAGATTGAGGGTCTTCCGAATGGTTTGTATGTTAGAACCCTCGTGCCTCAGAGGCCTATAGGCCTTGCATTGAAAAAAGATGTTATGACATCGCTTGGGACATCTAGGAACTTCGATAATACCCCGCATCCTTAAAGCTACTCACGGGTATCTGCTTACCTCCAGTAAGCACATCTTTCTTGGTTGCGCTTCTTGCAAAGCTTGTTATTTGGGTAAATTTATTACTCAGCTATCTTTAAAAAAAGTTCGAAAATACCCTCCAACCTTTCTTCGGCAGATTCAAGAGGATAGTTGTGGGTCTATCCAACCAACCAGTGAACCATTTTGTTAATCATGGTGTTGGTTGATGCATTCAAACATTGGTCACATGTTTACTTACTCTCTACACGCAATGATGCATTAGCAAAACTCTTGGGACAATTATTAAATTCAGAGCTCACCACCCTGATTATTCGATTAAGTAGATTCAACAAAATAATGGTGGAGAGTTTACGTTGCAGACTTCCGATGATTATTACATGCCAATTGGGATTAAAGTTGAACAACTTGTACGCCATGTTCACTCCTAAAATGGCTTAGCAAAAGCGTTCATTAAATGCCTCCAATTGATCACTCGAACCTTGGCCATCGCACCAAGCTTGTAAAATCTGCCTGTTGCTCAGCCGTGGTAATAGAAATGATGAAAGCGTTCATCAGAATGATATGGCGTAAATAGGTCGCTTTTTAAGTCTGCTGTCAAATCTCAAGGCTTAACCCTATGTAGGCGGTGAAAACTACCAAGCTGGACTACAGTCAGGGCAAAGGGAAACCTGATGAATCGATGAAATGTGTAGAGATCGGAAAAAACTTCAACAACAAAATCACTCTATTAGGCTTATTAGTAGGGAGAAAATTGATACTTTTAACTTAAACTGATTTTCACCGATCAGAGCATTTCGGAAATCCTCCCCGCTCCTATACCAATGTTGAATGGTGGTATTACTTCCTAAAGTCAAGTTGTTGCGCTTGTGAAAATAATGTGTGGGTCTTTGTAGTGATGTGCGTACACAAGCGGTTCTCTTTTAAGATATCCCCAAATGCAGAGTTTATACTCTATTTTTTGTAGGATCATAGTAGGAAGAACCATCATATGAGATGCACCATCTAAGTGAAAGAAAAAAAAAATCAATCTGCTTGGAAAAAATTAGGTCACAAGGTATTCGCCCTAATTAAATAAGAGTTATATCTTACAAAAAAGAAGGGAATCATATTCGTGAATAGATGAGTATTTGCAACCATTTACAAGAGTTAATACAGAAACAAACAATTACGGATGCCTTCAAACATAACCCACTAAACAAGTAAAGGACTACTGGCAATATTCGTGGACCAAGAATACCAACTTTCATTCAAGAAAGAGGACAGTTGACAACAACAGGCCAGGAATGACATATGCTACTAAAAGCTGATTATCGCATGTTTTTAGAGGCCATACTTGACTCATCCGGCCCTTTAAACTCACGACTTTAATAAATAAAATAGACTATTCCACAACATTTCTTCATGTCGCAGCCATCTCTAGATCAAATATGACCGGTTGAAGAAAAAGAAAACATCAATGAACGATTAAGCGAGACTTTGCCTTAGAGACCAACGAAATGTGACCTATAAGCTTTATTACACAAAAGATCTTTGAATACTACTTGCTTTCACTTCCCTGCTTGCTTTTTCTATCACATCAACAACCAGCCATGTTGGTTTGCCTGACACCCATTGCCACCCAATTTATTTCAACGTTATAGTTGGTTACTAGATACAAGCCTGACGTCTAGCACTTACGTGTGTTTGGGTGTGCTGTTTATGTGCCAATAGCGCCGCCACTACGTACTAAAATGGATCCTTGGAGAAAAATGGAAATTTATTTATATTGGTTATGATTCACCATCAATTATTCACTACCTAGAGCCCTTGACAAGCGATCACTTTACCACTTGCTTTGTGCATATTCTCATTTTGATAAAATAGTCTTACCGTAGTTAAGGGGAGATAAGAACATTAATATTCCTCAAGAACTCTGCGAATTGTTGTGGATTAACCCCATTGTGTCTCATTTAAATCCTGCATTGCATAGTCTGAAACTTAAGTGCGACGTATTTTAGATTTATAAAGCATTGCTCAAAGGATGCCAAGTGCTTTTAATGATCTAGAGAAAGTGACAAGGTCACATATCCCAGCTGTAAACGTGCATGCAAAGATAAATGTGTCATACATACATCGAAACATTGCCTTGAAATGACAAGTTGTTCTTGAAAGACAGTTGGCCGCAGTTACTGCATGACCCTGTAAAATTGCTCTAGCCAATCATCAACTCCTACCCTGAACCATGGCAAAATTGTTGATTCAAAGGATTCACAACCCTGAAAGAGGACACCCACGACACACATTAGTGAACCTAGTTTGAATCTTACCATCGCTAACTCATCCATTCCAATGCATGAGATTATTCTAGATTATGGAAGCGTCCTTGAATAGATGAATCCGCCTCTCGAGAGTCATGAGATTTAGGTCCATTATGCAAGCATGGATGTACTTTGGAACCAGAATGAGATGATAGTCGATGATGCATTTGCATACACAGTAACTACTGATATCATGTTGAACAATGACATTGGACAGTGTTCCATTGATGAATGTCGACATAGAACTAATTGGTTAAACTAGAGACAAACAATCCAGGTTAAACTTGATTCACTTACGAAAAGTAAAGCGTTTGAGCCCGTAGTTCCTACTCTTCCACATGTGAAGCTCATTGGCTACAAGTGGCTTTTGGTAAGGAAAAGTAATGAGAATAAGAGATAGTGTGACATATGGCACGCCTCGTGGCACAAGGCTTCTCTCAACGCCTTGGAATTGATTACAAGCATACATATTTTCCCGTAAAGGACGTCATAACTTTCTGCTACCTTATCAGTTTGATGGTTTGTGAAAAATTGAATATGCAGCTTATGGATGTGGTAATTGTATATCTCTATGTGGATCTTGATACATAAATCTATATGAAAGTTCCTGAAGGACTTACATTAACTGGATCAAATAGTTCTAGACCACGGATCACCCTCTCGATTAGATTGAGGCAGATGTAGTATAACAGTCTGAGTGAGTATTTGATTAGCCAGGGATATGTGAATAATGAACTATGCCCATGCGTGTTATCGAGAAGTCACATTCTAGATTTGCTATAGTTTCAGTTCATGTCGATGACATGTATCTCATTAGAACTTCTGAAAAGCTTGAGAAAATTGTCTCACTCAGGGCATGTTCTCAAACAGGTTATGTCTTTAACATTGGAGACATCGCAATGTCTTGGAGGTCAACCAAATTTAACTTAGTTGTGATTTCTTCAAACCAAATTGAAATTCTCGCCCTTCATGAAGCTACTCGTGAATGCTTCTAGCTCAAAGCCATTATTGAGCATATTCAAAACACTTGTGGACTTTCTTCAATCATTGACGTATCTACAACAATCTATAAAGACAATGGTGCTTATGTTAAGCAAATCAAGAAAGAATACACTAAAGGAGACAACACCATGCATATTGCGCTGAAATTCTTCTTTTCACATCAGCAACATGAGCATTAGAGGATTGAAGTCAAGCAAATCCAATCCCAAGAGATCTTTGCCAACCTCTTCACGAAGTCACTTCTAAACTCTACTTCCAGAAGCATATCCAAGGAATTGGTATGCATAAATCTTAATGCATCTTTTCACCTTTCTACTTAGACTATGGGGTTTTTATCCCACCTTGGGTTTTACCATAGCCAGGTTTTGTAAGTTTTACTTCTTATGCATTCTTCAATTTATGTTTAGACTCGCATTCCCTTATTGTGCAGACTAGACGAGATGACTTCATTACCTGCTTCTACTTCATACAGGATCTGATGTGACCACTACTTGAATATTTACTCAATCATAGAGAGTGTTACTAATTATAGCACATGTGATTGTGCAAATCATCAGTACATTGTATGTAGGATTCTAGAAGATCTTACCCCTTTATGAATGTATTACTTGCAAGACAAGGAATCCTATCTAGTTTACTATAAAGAAAGACATCAAAAAAATTCCTCATCTTTCTTTTCTCTCTTTGCCACACCCTGTCTCTCCCTCCAACAAAATAAGTTACAATACTAAGTAAATTAATGGAAGTATTTTCTGCCTTTCGAGTGATTGGGCCTTAGCTCAAGGAATTTCGTGTGTTACCTTTGCATATCCAACAAGATATGAAAGTTTTTTTTTTCTTTACCACTCAACCAGGTATTAAATGGCAACAAGATATGGAAGTTTATTAGTCTCCTAACAGAGTTTGGGAGCCTCCAACCGTCCAACGTTTTTTGGCCTCACATCTTACGTATTCTCCTTAAATGCGGGCCCATTAGAATCATATAATTTGTGGGTTGAACCGTTTTGGAGGCTCAAAGTCAAAAGCTGGTATCCTTATCTCCTTCCACAAAAAATAAACAAAAAGTTGCCCACATATTAAAAATGGCAAGAAATTCATCGACCACAATTAAAACAATGTGCATAAATATGATTAGTTGGGGGTGGGATGGGATTATTATATTACTAACAAAAGAATAACAAGAATAATTGATTGCTTTACAAATCTAATGAATTATGACCATACAATGAGGACAAACAAAATTCTTCAATTTGTTAGACAAATTGATTGATAGAGATTATTGACCTAAACTTTTAACAATCGAAGGTCTATGATCACTAGTTTGGTATGGTATATACTCAACTCAAACACTAAAATGCTTTTCTTCTTTTGAAACTTTACATTTGCTTCGAGCCTCTCGTCTTCCGCCAATTTCAGACAAATCCGTCAACCATGCGTTTTAGACCACTCCGTCAGCCGTCCATTTTAGACAATTCGTGTTTCACCAGTTTGAGGCCACAATAACACCAAGTTAAAAACTGAAGAGACAATACCTCTTTGTATACCCTTGACTCCACTGCCAGCATTACATCCCAATAAGTTTTTTTTTTCTGCGAAAAACGGAAAAAAAGAAGATACATGCTCGTCTCAGAAAAGGAAAGTTTCTGTTGCAAAGCCGTAGAAGGTAACTAGATGACAACTGGAGAAATTTCCATAACATAAGGCTGCAAGACAGCATTCTTGTCCTGCGCTGCATGATCTTGATAGACAGGATTTCAAGGTATTTGCTGCAGGATTTCAAGGTACTGGCTAGATGGTTATAATCAGTTGCCGGTAGCGATTCTTTCCATGGATATCAACCAATAAGTGATTCAGTTTCCAACTTCAAACAACTTAAGATTTAGATTTCTCAGCAGTGAATGCAACTACGTTTTAAACTTTTAGTTTATTTAAAAAAATCAGGACATCAAGGTGGGGGTAAAAGGAAGGGGTGACATACCGAATGGTTCAGAAAGGCAGCAATAGGAATCAAGCATGTTCTTAGCTTTCCATCAGGAAACTTGATTTTCATGCTATTTGAGTACCACAGTTCACATGCCCACAAGAATTGCTCCCATGTATAAAGCTCCGGCAGAAAGATATCAGGATGCTCATTGAACAGTGCAGGGAAGAGCTTATCATATTCAGCAAGCAAATGCTGAGACAAGAAAAGGGAGTTAAATGATAAATTTTTAATTAGTGGGATGCTTTTCCCTTAAATAAATACTATGGTATGAGAAAGTTATCTATCACGATATCCTATCAGAAACATAGAGAATGAATAATCAAAAGAACAAAAAGGATACAGATACAACATTCCATTCTTTAAGTAATATAAAAATGAGAGATCAAATACTGCAATGGCAGCTGGAAAGATATTGGCTGGAGGTTCAATAACACTAGTCCGTCCCGTCTTTCAAGAACCCTCCCAAGGTTTCTCCCTACACCTGATTTGGGCATCTCCATGTTCTGCACCCCTAAATAGAACAAATATATCGGCCCTGCCCATCAGACGCCCATTTACCCCTGGAACATGGTAAAGTCAGGGAAAAGCCTTAAGGTTGGGTCAGACCTTTTTCTCACTGCAGATTTGTTATTGGGAAGCATTGTATCTTGCAGAGAACTTGCAAAAGCAAAATACAGGATGACAACAAACAAAACTAGTCCTACTTATAAGTCGGAAAGACAAAAAACAAGCAGCATTGCCAGCAGACAAGAATGTGAACTTCAACATTCCCCAAGAAGTAAACAGACAACAAAGAAGAGTTAATTAGGAGTGCGGCCACTGAACAGTGTACCAGGTTTTTAGAATCCAAGTAGATTACAAATAGTGACTGTCAAAAATGTATACTAAATGAGGTGATTTTTGTTGGACAGGGCTGAATATCATTGTCATCCTGATCTCCCATTTACAAGTGACCACCCATTCTTATATGCATGAATCATGCAACAGTATGGACAAATTTTGTCTATAACTGAAAAAAGAGGTCATAAATGTCAAAAAAGGTAATCTAATAACCTGTTTTGCTTGTGTTATCTCATCCAACAGCACAATTCCACCCAAAACCATCATCACGTTGGCTCCAAAACTCAACCCTGCAGCATTTAGGGAAGAAAGATTAAGAAATAAAGGAAAAGATAAATTAAAACAAACAAATCACTGTAATAATATCAGAAATGGTCCTCCACCAATACACCAAATATGCATACTTATTTTATATGGTGTAATACTAAATAACTTCATCTAATTCTTTATCTATACAAATAAAAATGGACAAGAATATTTTTCTGCACAACATCCCCACCCCCCCCCCCAAAACACAATTCTTCAAACTTCCAAGAAACTAAAACCAACAGTTTCCCCCTGCGGTCTGCACCTTATTGCAAGTCCACCTTAGTTGAAAGCTTTTAAGATGCAAATATGTGACAATAAGAAATTTGTAGTTTTATTAAACATCATTTTCCTGGAATCTGTTTTTTTTTCCTCATGTGCAAATCTATCTAGCAAAAAGTCCACTGCAAAGAGCATATGAGTGCTATCTTAGGATTATTCTAACTAAATTGCCGAAAGTGAAGATTTTTATTATCCTTTACAACCACAGAAACCACAGGACAAAAGGTGTCTTCACATTACAAAGCAGAAAAGAAAAAACAGACATACGATAGCCCAACCACAAACTTTCCCAATGTTTGGGTCTAATGCTTGACAAACTCATTTGCCTAATTTTTCTGGCATTTCTAGATAGTATTACCCTTACTGAACAATTAAACATAAAAAATTGACCATAGAGAATCATAGATTTGTCTGAATTTATTTTCATAGCATGAGTTGATCATTTATTACCACATATACTAACACTGAGCATCTTATGAATAAACAACTTCCTTGGAAACATAATGGATAAGTTCCATGTTTGACCTAACATCAAATTATTACTATCTACATAAAGAAATATTATACTTTTACAGAGAATACTAAAAGCAAACTAGAATTTCATATAAACGGAAATTCATAGTTGCACAAAGTTACAAGATAGATTTAATAGGAAAACAAAGTCACAAGCAGTCAAAATACCAGTATGAAAATCTTCAGGAAGTGTGTCAAAGTACATCTTGTATTTTGAATCACAATTGCGCCTCTCCTTCATGCTCCACAACAACAACATTGTCTCAGGAGGAGTAATGCCTTCAAACTTCTCTAATACATGATACTGCAGTAAACAAAGGAGGTAATATATTGGGCCACGTTTCTTGTTCATAATGCCCCTCAATATGTATTGGACCCAACAGACCTAAAACCTACTCTAGCTCTGAGCATCATTACCTCAGCAAGAACAAGGGAAACAGTACAGTTGCATCACTGTGCTTATATATCAAGACATACAAGAGAGAGAGAGAGAGAGAGAGAGAGAGAGCAGCATCAGACTAATCTAGACAAAAATCTGACAACAAAAATGTTGTATACAGGGGACAAGGATTCATATTTGGCATTATAGAGAGTAGCTTATTTATGCTTACAAGACCAGTAAAGTTGGATCACGACTGTGATAAAGATCAATTTTCTCAATGGCTGAATTGGTAACTTAATGTGGCTTGGGAAAACAAACTCCACATGTGGGAAGAATGATGCTCAAACTCCACATGTGGTAGGTAAACATTTGTTTATAAAAATTGATCATCATCCACATCTAGAGCCATTTATTACTTACATATTAGAGCAGTCCACCTCTTGCTAGATGTGGAGTCAATGTAGGTTCACTTTAATTTTTCTGTTTCCCCTAATATATTTTCAGAAGCCTCTTAACTAAACCCAGAGGTAACAAATACAGACAAATTAAAAGTATTAAAAAGGTTTCTCAAGCAGTAAAACATACCATACCAGCTTGCACAAGCTCCTCAGAAACTATTAAAGACATTGGGATCTCCAGAGCAGTCTCTCCAACTTTCTGATCGTCTGCAGCTATGGCTCCTCTGCCAGCCCCTTCCACATCTATTATGATGAATGAAAAGCAAAAGACATCATATATTCAAGGCTAGTTTCCTTCTCTTGTGCAGGAAAACCCCCACAAAAGGGGAAAGAATAAACAATCATACCAGCAGCAATCACAGCAGTGAAAAGTTAAGACTTACGAGCTATCTGCAACCTTGTTTTAACACCAATGTTCTCACCCCATCGTAACAGTTGCTTTCCTTTATCAGAGTTGTAGCCTTCTACAATTGCAGTCTTCGAATTGTGCTTGTCAGAAGACCAACAAATCATATCAATAATAGCATTGTGTAGTTCTTGCAGGACATTCCTTTGCATGCCTGCACGTCATTAAAGCCCATTGTTTCATCATTGGTCTGCTAATCATATATGTGATCATGGTACTCTCAGGCAGTTCTAATTTCTAAAGTCATTTGTCTACCCTTATGTGCCTAAACAGTCCAAGAAGTTATCAGAATGAGTTTGAAGGATCTCAAGATGGATTCATCAAGCATCAAAATGGACAAAATTTCTGGCCTCATATTTCCCAAAATAAAAACAATTCTGTTTTGTTCTAGTTCTACAATATATTCCAGTAATAGACTCTGGGCATCCTTCAGATTAACGACCATTTGATTTAAAGAGCATAGTGACAGACTACCTCAGTTGATTCTATGATTTTTGCTATCTGAAGCATTACTTCCAAAGAGGTACTGAGCCAATTAGGATCTGCAGACCTTTTAACATGGATTTGCTGCCTGGTATTAAATCCCTTATCTTGTAGCAATTTCAGCCAGAAAATGAGAAAAAAACAATTGTTAGAAGGATGATGGTAGAAACAACTCAGCTAACTCATCACAAGCACAAAAAAACCACCAGACACTAATTAGTGCGCAAGAACAAGAAAGATAACTAGCAACGGATATGAAAATTTTACAAATTGTAAAATGGATATATTGACAGTTGTTGATTGTTTAGTTTTAACCCTATTTTAGAAACTGCCTAATTGAAAAAGATTCTGAAATAAAATAATACACAGTGATTAGTTTGGCATTTCTTACTTTACTTAACATTGTGCCTCCAAAGAGTCACAAATATGTCCTACATTTAAGACTGAGTACCAGAATCGAATTGACGAAAAGGGTCATTTGACAGTTTCTCTACTGTGCGTACCATTCCATTCTAACATTTGGTATGAGTCAGTCAAAAACATTTGTTGTTCCTCACATTTTTATCAAAAAGTGGGTCACTTTCAGATAGCTCCAGGACAATTGAGCAGTCTTTATCCAACTCCATGGAATCAAAACATGACGACGGCTGCAAATAACAAATAAAGCATCCAAAACCATTTATCCCTTAGATGATAAAAATTCCCATGATCAAAATACAAAAGAACAAGAAATGCATACACAATTAAGTTTCACTAGTTTACACATCCATCAAAAACCCAATGACTAAACGCACACATTTTGTTCAATTTATATATCCAAGCTAGAAGCAAAGCACATTTTTCACATAACTTACATAAATTGTGGTAAATTAAAGATACAAAAGAGAAATCCACCAATAAAAACAGTAAAGAACGCAAACCCAACAGAGCTACAAGTTCACTGTATCAAATTGTGTGTATCTAATGTAAAAATAAAATATAAAAAATAAAAAATAAAAACTAAACAGGGTTTTGTCTGTTTGGTTGCTGGGAAATTGTCAGAAATAAAACAAATCCAAGAATTTCAGAATGCGCACAAGGAAAATGAAATTTCAAGAACGTAAAAGAAAGCAGTAAGGTTGGAGGAATTTAGAGAAAGAAATAGTACTAAAATAGTAAGCGTTTACTTTATTGGTCGCCATTGGAGTGCAGATTCAAGCAGAAGTCCTCGCAAGTCAAATTGGAAAGATCATGTACAAGTCCGTAACAGTAGCGAGAATGGAGAAGAGATGAGGAGACGAGAGTTTGGGCGGCAAGAGTGGGCGAGGAATTTGGGAGGGCTACAGAGAAAATATTCTATCCACACATTTTTTTTTTTTTAATTCTCACACCCATCCTTCATTTTTGTCTATTGAATCTAATAAATTGAAAAAGATTAATGACAAAAAATTAACAATAATGTATGAAAAGTAAAAATAGATTTGTGAATAACACTACTATTGTAGCCTATTTGATTAAGCGATCTAGGGTTAGAGAGAGAGGGGTGCGGCAAGCTTTAGGGAGAAGAGAGATTTATTTAATTGTAAGGTGTGTTTGATTCACCCCATTGTACCTATATTTATAGTAGTAGAAATGGTGAAACCTTTCCCTTTAGGATTACAACATTTAATAGGTAATCTAATCCTAATAGGAATATAAGATAGATTCCCACATTCCCTATGATTTACACAATCACATTCTTATTCTAAATATGACTGCAACACTCCCCCTTGAGTGTATAAATACTCAACAAACCATCGCATCAGATCTTCAGCAGATAAGGTAGAATAGTTGATGAAGTCATCTGCACAACGAGTGATCACGAGTCTCAAATTTACTTTGAAGTATGCATTTGTAAAAACTCACAAAAACCTTGCTATGGTAAAACCTAATGATTGGGGAAAACCCATAGACTAAGGAGAAAAGTAAGAAAATATGCATAATATCTTAAACGCTCGTCAAACTGGACGAAGGTAGTGAACTCAACGGAGTATGATCATTCCAAGATGGGTGCCTCGTTAAAACCTAGTTAGGTAGCAAAAACCCAATGGGAAAAATGCTCCTAATCGTAGGGAAAAAGAGTACATTAAGATCATGTAAGTATGCTTCAAGATACTCCCCTGGAGTTAGACATGCTTCAAGATACTCCCCCTGAGTTAGACATAACTTCTAAATAAAAGAACTACAAGCGATTCAACTCAGATAATTTACGCATATCGATTCCTTGGACGAGCTTCTAAAATGTAGACTTGGGTAATGACTTGGTGAAGAGATCGGCCAGGTTGTTCTAGCAACGGATTTGCTTGACTTCAATGTTTTGATGCTACTGCTGCTGGTGTGAGTAAAAGAACTTCGGCGCTATGTGCTTGATGTTGTCTCCCTTGATGTATTTCTTCTTCAACTGCTCGATACATGCTGCATGGTCTTCAAAGATTGTCGTAGGAAGGTCAACGACTGATGTAAGACCACTAATGCTTCAAATATGTCCCATAACTTCTCTCAGCCAAAAGCATTCACGCGAGTCTTCATGCACGGCGAGAATCTCTACGTGGTTAGACGAAGTTGCAACTAACGTTTGCTTGGTAGACCTCCAAGATATAACAGTGTCTCCAATGGTAAAGACATAACCCATTTGAGAACATGCTCTATGTGGGTCAGACAAATATCCAGCATCTGCGTAACCAACAAGGCAAGAATCAATCTGAGGACTATAAGGGGCGGCAACACTAAAAAATTTACGGGTATAGAACAAGCCCAAATTCGTTGTACCCTTGAGGTAGTGGAAAATGTCTTTAACACCATTCCAATGTCTGCGTGTGGGCGCATTGTTGTATCTAGCCAATAGATTCACAGCGAAGGAGATGTCGGGTCTAGTGCACTGAGCCAATTATAATAAAGCCCCAATTGCACTCAGGTAAGGAACTTCGGGTTCTAAAATCTCTGCCTCATCCTCCTTTGGATAGAAGGGATCTCGTTTAGCATCTAGAGTCCGAACAACCATGGGTGTACTCGAAGGCTTCGCTTTATCCTCATTAAAACGACGCAACACCTTTGGGGTGTAGTTCGATTGATGTACTAAGATTCCATCTGAACAATGCTCAATCTCCAGGCCGAGATAGTATCGAGTTTTCCCAAGATCCTTTATCTCAAATTCTGATTTCAGGTCTACAGTAATTTCCTCAAGCTCTGTGGGAGTCCCAATGAGGTTCATATCATCGACATAAACTGCAACGATTGCAAATCTGGAATGTGACTTCTTTATGAACACGCATGGGCATAGTTCGTTGTTCACATAACCCTGACTTGTCAAATATTCACTCAGACGGTTATAGCACATCCACCCAGATTGTTTCAATCAGTAGTATGACTTCCTCAGTCTAATTGAGAGAGTGTTCTGTGGTCTAGAACTATTTGAGCTAGTCAATGGAAGTCCTTTTGGAACTTTCATGTAGATTTCCGTATCTAGATTCCTATAGAGATACGCGGTTATCACGTCCATAAGCTGCATATTCAGTTTTTCGGAAACTACCAAACTGATTAGGTAGCGAAACATTATAATGTTCATTACGGGGGAATATGTCTCCTCGTAATCAATCCCAGGGCACTGAGAGAAGCCTTGCGCTACGAGGCGTGTTTTGTATCGCACTATTTCATTCTTCTCATTACGTTTCCTCATGAAAACCCACTTGTAGCTAACAGGCTTTACACGTGGTAGTGTAGGAACGATAGGTCCAAACACTTTACATTTCGTGAGCAAATCGAGTTCGACTTGGATTTCTTGTTTCCAGTTTGACCAATCGGTTCTATGTCGGCATTCATCGACGGAACGTGGTTCAATGTCATCGCTGAGCATGATGTCAGTAGCTACTGAGTACATAAATGCATCGTTGACGATCATCTCATTCCTATTCCAAACCTCACCCACTATTGTGTAGTGGACCGAAATCTCGCGATTCTCGGGAAGCTGGCTTGTTTTGTCTAAAGCATTACCATAATCTAGAATAACCTCATGCATTGGAACGAATGAGTAAGCGATGGTCGGATTCAAACTAGGGTCACTAGTTGGTGTCATTTCCTCTTCCGAGGTTGTGAATCCTTTAAACCAAGGGGTTTGCCACGCTTCAAGGTCGGAGCAGATCATTGGCTAGCCACCAATGTACTTTGCCACATGGAAGGTGCGGCCTCCCCACATTCGAGGACGGTTCAGCCTTCCCAAGCGGGTTATTAACGTACGCGGGGTACATTTATCCTTGCAGGTGTGCTTGCAGCGAGCATATGTGATCTTGTCACTTTTGCTAGATCATTAAAAGCATCTGACATGCTTTGAGCAATGCTCTGAAGATCTATAATTCATCGCACCTCAGTTTCAGACTAGGTAGTGCGAGGATCTAAATGAGACATAGTGAGAGCATACCACGATAATTCGCAGCGTTCTATAGGAACATTAGCATGCTTATCTCCCTCTAAAGACGGGAAGACTATCTCATCAAAGTGACAATCCGCAAAACGTGCGGTAAAGAGATCTCCTGTCAAGGGTTCTAAGTATCGAACAATTGATGGCAAATCATAACTGACATAGATTCCTATTTTTCTCTGAGGACCCATTTTGGTACGTAGTGGCGGCGCTATTGGCACAATGGCGCACCCAAACACCTTAAATGCGAGATGTGAGGCTCGTATCCAGTGACCAACTATAACGGTGAATGTGGTTGGGTAGCGGTAGGCCTCAAACGGACCAACATAGCTGCTTGCAATATTGTATAGCCCCAGGCATATACCAGTGATAGGAGCATATTCATGCGACTTAATTAGCTTGTTCTCGTGCATTTATGTTGTGTTTACTTAGTTATTTTAGTGTTTAAGGCTATTTTTGTGTATTTTCAGATTATAAGGCCAAAGTGTGCAAGAAGATGCAAATTGGAGTCTTTTGGAGCGAAAGAGAAATGAATGAGTTGAAGACTTGAAGAAACGACGAATTCCTACTCCAACGATGAATTCCTACCAAAACGAGGAATCCTACTCAAACAAGGTTTCCTACTTGAAGTAGGAAAGTTAACCCTAGGTTTCCTGTTTTGGTAACCTTTCCTAAACTTAAACGTCCGTATTTTCTAGCCACTTTGAAGGCCTTGTATGCACTTTAGGACATAAAACAAGGCCCTAGCCCAATTACACAACCTTGCCGTGGGCTTATCCCTTCTCCCCTTCCCTTGCCGTGCAAACCACTCTATTTTAGGCCCATTCTATGCACCTAGACCCTAATCCTTTTCCTTACAGCCACCTTGCCCTTTTATTTCTGAATTAAACCTATTTCCTTCCCCTAATTCCAGCCATCTTCCACACCTTTCCAACCTAGCTGCACCCTACATGCATTAATTAGTCATTCTTTTCATATTGCAGCCACATTCCATACACTTTCCACCATCCCTTGCCGTGCATTCCCCCTAATTCCAGCCATCTTCCACACCTTTCCAACCTAGCTGCACCCTACATGCATTAATTAGTCATTCTTTTCATGATGGCAGCCACATTCATTACCAAAGAAAATCCTTGCCGTAGCCTTCACAACCCATTCCAGCCTTCCACCAACCTTGCCGCACCCTTTAATCATTCACCCTAGCTGTCACTCCCATTCTCTCCCATTAATTAATTCAGCCACCATCATACATATATTCTCCCATTCACTCTTCATAAAAGAGAGGACACATTCACCACCATACCATTGCATTCAGCCGTAAGACATTCATCACCAATTCCCAGCCTTTGCCGTGCCTTCCTCCACCATTCCAGCTACCATACAAACCTTCCTCCATCACTCCACAACCTTGCCGTGCCACCAAACCTCCCTAAATCCATCCCCAACCCAAAATAACATCCAAAACACCCCTAAACCATCTCTGCCGCAGCAAGTAGAAGGAGAAAGAGGACTTTAAAACGTGCAGAAATTCAAGTGGATTTCTTGGGCGTTTTGGGTGTAATCCATCCTTTGTTCGTTATGTTTAAATTCAATTTTATTTCTCTTTTTGTGAACATGAGAGGCTAAACCCCCTAGTTAGCTAGGGGGTGATTCGAAACCATGATTATATATGTGAAATAAGTTGATTACTTCCAGTTATCGTTGCATAAGTTTTGAATACAATTTGCTTAACCGTTTGATTTAGAACTTATTTTTGTATGTTGATTGAGAGTGCACGCTTAATTTGCATGCTTGAATTTGGTGCTAGTTGTTTCACCTAATCGTTATGAATTTATATTCACAAGTAGTAAAAGTTGCTAGTCACGATCATGTTAAGTAGATTCCTGGCAAGCGTATCATGCTTTTCATAGTTACAAA